CCTCCCGCACCCCCAGCCCCCGAGGAGCCGGAGCCGGCGGCAGAGCGAGGTAACCGCGGCTGCTTCGCTTCCCGAGACCGACTTCGGGGCCCGACCGCCTGGAGGACCCCCTGCACGCCACACCCCTAGGCCCGGTCCTTTAAGCCCGCGCCGTCGGGGCCGCGAAGGGAAATCGCCACACCCTTTCCCTTCTTCTTAAAGGGACCGACACCAAGCCTTCTTTCCCGGAGGGGAAAGTGGAGAGAAGGGTTGGATGTTGCGGAGGCCGCCCTGTCCCCTCAGCCTCGCCCCGCCCCGTCTGCTCTTCCTTCCCCATATACATTCAAAGGTTGGGGCCTGGGGTGCAGGGTGGCGAGGGGCTCAGAGGGCTGAGACCTGGCGTCTGTCCCCGGGGGAGGGGCTGGGACAGAGCCCCTGGGTCACTGAAGGAAGACAGGGCCCTGCACTGCAAGGTGGTAATGGGGCGAGCAGACTCGGTACAGAGCAGGAGGGGGGCCGGGGCTTCGCCTCCCGGGGTGCAGGGGCCCCACACAGCTCTGAATGTATATCTGACGCGTGTGACGGCTTCCTCCTACGCCACCCACAGCCTTCCGCCCTTCTCCAGATGCCCCTCCCTTGGAACTGGACGGGCCTGCCCTGGCTCCTGGGGCCAGGCTGGGGTGGGGGGCTCTCCCCGGGCTGGTCAGGCCTACTGCCAACTCTTGCTAATTATCTTTTTATGTCCCCCATCACCAACAGAGGAGGAGCGCCCCAAACCCAGGTGAGGTCCTTGGGACTCCGGAGACGGAGGGGAGAGGCGGAGAGGTGGCGAGGCGGGTAGCAGAGGAGCACAGTCGGCCCTTCCCGATGGTCCTGGGATCTGGGACTGGTTGGGCCCCGAGCTGTACTGAGGCAGACCCAGACAATGAGCATGCGGGAGGGAGCAATCGAGGAAGGCCTCCTGGCATGGTGATGCTTAGTCCAGAGATACCAGGGGTTTGCTAGCCGAAGGAACTGGAAGGGACATCGGAGGCGAGAAAGCCGTGAGGTGTGTGCCGAGTCCAGCGGCTGTGTACAGATCGGCCCAGAGGGCAGGTGCACGCACACGCATGCACATGCACACACGGGTCACTCCGGCAAGGCAGGACTGTGAGAGCTCACTGGGGCGAGGAGGCCTGGAGGAGGTGACATGGCGGCTGGGGCAGGGGTGCAAGAGGACAGCCATCAGAGTTGGAGGTGGGAATCCGCAAGGCAGCGGTAAGAATGTCACTGGCCAGTGTGGGACGCAAGATCAGGTAGGGCCGTGGAGGCCAGGGCACCAGGAGCCATGGGAGGGTCTGGAGCAGAGGAGGCAGAGAGGCAGGTGTCAGCTGGGGGGTGGGGGTGAGGCAGGGGGGAGGCGTGGCCTGGCCGGGGCAGAGTACGCCAGGGCTGGGGCCTGGTGGCAGAGGGTGCAGCACAGACGCCGGGGGTGTGGAAGCACACACAAGGCAACAGCCACAAGTGTGCGTGTCTGAGCGAGAGCGGGCGCTGGGCGGAGGGACCTGACTCTGAATGCCAGTCCTGGACAGTGGGGAGTCCAGGGACTGGCCCGAGCACAGCAGAGACAGGGTGAGAATGTGGCGGCAGAAGGTTCCCTGGAGTCTTAGGGAGGCCTGAGCAGAGGCCTGGAAAGCCTGGGCCCGGGAGAGCCTGGCTGCCTGGCTCAGGATCACAGAGTTGCGCCAGCACGTGGCCTGGGCACGAGTGTCCTGTAAGGAGGGAAGGACACAGGAGAACTCTGTAGGGCTCACAGGGGACAAGTCAGAGATGGGACAGCCAGAAAGGCAGGAGGGCACCAGGACGAGGCATTGTCCCAGGCTGCAAGGGGAGGGGATTCCGAGGAAGTGGGGCACCCAGTGGCAGGAGACAGGACTGCGCCACAGGCACAGCAGGGGGCCAGCCGCTGGGCCATGGGAAGGGTTGGAGCCCCTCGGGGTCAGCTAAGGTTCATGGGCCTGGCAGCGGCCAATCATGTCAGGCGCATGCAGGCGCCTAAAACCCCAAGAGGAGAGTGGAGAAGGGATTGGGGTGTGGCCAGCCCTCTGGGGAGTGACTTCTCATTTTCAGTCTCTCTGGCAAGCATACCTGTCCCATGGCAGGGACCTTAAAATAAAGAAGGTAAAAGGTATACCAGGGCCAGCCGGTGGTGTGGTGCTTGAGGTGGCAGGATCCCACACGGCTGACTGTGTAGATCGAGTCCCGGACCAGGTGTCTTGAAAAGCACACAGGGTTGCAGCGTGACCATTCACCCCTGCTGGGGGATGCTTTCTCATGGTCTCCCCCCAGCAAGCTTATGACCCCTATAGCAAATTATTAACATTTATTTTAAAATAATTATTTTTACTAAGTTTGTTTATAATTATTTTTAATTTGGCCAAAGAGAGACCTAGACAGAGAGAGGGAAAGTGAGAAAGCAAGCCGTCAGGTCTGGACTGGAACTGTGGTCAGTCCTGTGGGAGTCCAGTGCCTTTAACTGCCACACCACCGGCCACTGCCCCCCACCGTAGCAAATTTAAAACAAAAGGAAATACACACCGGGCTGCGTGCGGGTGGGCTCGGGAATCCCAGCAGCAGAATGGCAGAGGGACAGCTGGGTGGCCAGCCCCGGGGGATTCTTTCTCAGGCCCCTCTCTGCCTGTGCTGAGCGCCGGCGCCCTACGGCAAGTTAAATAAAGCGCAGCGGAGCAGTAACACGACTTTCTGAGCGCGCGACGGCACACTCTGAGTGTGCTCATCAAGCCAGTCAGTGGCTGGCTTCGGAGACCTGCACGTGCTGCCGCCGCGTGTACGAGTCCTCGGACCGCACCAGTCTTCTCGGAAGCCGGTCTCCATTTGGACGGGGCGCCGACGCCACGCGGGGCGGCTAGGGGCTAGCCTGTGGGCAGCGGGGTCCGGCCAGGGGCCGCGCTGCTCACGGTCCTCACACCTCTACCACCCCAGCCGCCCGGTGGTGCCGCCTCTGATCCCTCCGAAGATCCCGGAAGGGGAGCGCGTGGACTTCGATGTAAGCGGCCCCGTGAGGGCGCACGGTGCTTTGCTGCCCCCTGCTGGGAACTGTCGGTCACGGCGGGCCCACGCCTCGGGGAGGGGCTCCCGGTGCGGCCCGAGACCCCGGCACGGTCCGCAGCGGCCTCCCCGCCCGTCCCGTAGGACATCCACCGGAAGCGCATGGAGAAGGACCTTCTGGAGCTGCAGACGCTCATCGACGTGCACTTCGAGCAGCGGAAGAAGGAGGAGGAGGAGCTCATCGCGCTGAAAGAGCGCATCGTGAGTGGGGCGCGCCTGCGCCCGCCCGCCCGCCGTCGCGGTTAGGAGAGCGGGTTCCGCAGTGTGAGCCCGGGGCGCAGCCCTGCTCTGCGCGGCGAGGCGGGCATTCCGTCTTCTCCCTCCCCAGGAGCGGCGCCGGGCCGAGAGGGCGGAGCAGCAACGCTTCCGAACCGAGAAGGAGCGCGAGCGGCAGGAGGGGGGGGGGGGGGGG